TTTTGTGATACTAGGGTTTGAACTCGGGGCCTAATGCTTGCTAAGCAGAAGTTCTACCACTTGAGCCATGCCCCTGGCCCTTTTTTGCTTTATTTTTCAGGTAGGGTCTCATGAATTTTTCCCAGAGCCAGGCTGGACTGCAATCTTCTTACCTATGGCCTCTCATATAGCTGGGACCACAGGCATGCACCACCATGCCAGATTATTGATTGAGATGGAGTCTTGTTAACTTCTTGCCTGGGTTGGCCTTGAACCATATTCCTTCTTATCTCCACTTCCCAAGTAGCTGGGATTACAGGCATGAGCCTGACAAACTCCTCTTTTATTTGCTGTCTGCCTTAACCATCATCTCTGTTTGTTCTTCCCTTTAACAGAAGCGAGATATTCAGCTGCTAAAAGCATATATGCGTGCAATCCGCAGTGTCAACCCCAACCTTCAGAACCTGGAGGAGACGATTGAATACAACGAGATCCTCGAGTGAGTGTCACTCAGGACATGGAGTCACTCTCTCCATATCCTGGCACCAAAGCCTGAAAGGAGGAAGAGCAGGGAGTGGCAGAGGAGGGCAATAAGAGAGCTGGGCTAGGCCCACCACTTCTCAGATGTTGGGGTGAATGGCAGGGGCAGAGGAGAAGAGAATAATCCTCAGCTCCAGTACAGGATCTCTTTTTCATTTGGGTGGATGGAAGGGGAAGCCTGCCCAAGGATGCAGTTTGTCCAGAATCAGGTGAGTACCACCATGTACAAAGCCCTATATTAAAGGGTTGTGGAGTGCTAGGAGGGCCAAAAAGAAATAGAAGATATCATCCCCTGTCTTCAGGTAGCTTACAACCCAGAGAAGAAGAGACAGAGTGCAAGTCCAGGAAAGTGATCTAAAATGCAGCAAAAACAAGCGAAGTAAACAAGCGAAGTCTAAGATCCCTTTCATTTCTGGAGTCTTATACAGTTCATAGACTAAACTGTAAGTGTGAAATGATACACATAGGGCAAGTAGTGCTGAGTGGGACACAGTAAAGAGGAGTCATTGCTTCATTTCAGTAAACGTTTGTTGAGCACTTACTACGTGCAAAGGGCTATATGGGCTAAGCATTGGTACTTCAAAGAAAAATAAGGACAGAGTGTAGAATTATGGAATTTAATCTGGTAATGTGATAACTTGGATGGGGCCAACCAGGGAAAGATTTGGGTTTCTGAGCCAATGCTGGAAGGAAAGATGGAAGAATTAGAGTCCAGCTGATTGCAGAGTGGGTGGTCATTCCACTTAGGAGGAAAAGCCAAAGCAGAGAAAGGGGATGAGCTGGAATGACCATCCCCAACCCCTCCACACAGGTGGGTGAACTCCCTGCAGCCAGCAAGAGTGACTCGCTGGGGAGGAATGATCTCAACCCCGGATGCTGTGCTTCAGGCTGTAATCAAGCGCTCCCTGGTGGAGAGTGGGTGCCCTGCCTCTATTGTCAACGAGCTAATCGAAAATGCCCACGAACGTAGCTGGCCCCAGGGTCTGGCCACACTAGAGACAAGACAGATGAACCGGCGCTACTATGAAAACTACGTGGCCAAGCGTATCCCTGGCAAGCAGGCTGTTGTTGTGATGGCTTGTGAGAACCAGCATATGGGTGATGACATGGTGCAGGAGCCGGGGCTTGTCATGATATTTGCGCATGGTGTGGAGGAGATCTAGGAGAGCTCAATCAGCTATCAGGAAGAGATGGAAATTGGAACAACCCCATCACTCTAGCAGCTGGGCCCTGAGTTCTCCCCACTGTCCTTAATGTCACAGCTTACACTGCAGCCCCACACTCCCCCGCTCTTCTGACACTGAAGGGCCCTGGGGCACTTTGCTCAGCCTTCTGGGAAGGAAATCCAGATTCCTGCCTTTTTGCCATATTTCTTTCCCTAAAATGTCAGTAAATTCACAGTCTGGGTGGGAGAGTCCCATCCCTGTATTTTCCTGCATAGGGTCACTGGTTCCAGATATTTTCAGAAAGCACAAAGAGATTTGTTTTCCCTAGAGGATCAGAGTGTAATGAGGAATTTCTAATTGTCCCTCTTCTCCAAAACCAGAGCATCGGAGCAGGCAGGCCTGTTGACTCTAAGCAGCATTTAGAGGGAGCTCTGGGAAGCAGACACCCTGAAGAAATGGTAAGGGTGGACCAAAACCCTAGAATTAAATAGGCCAGGAATTGGCATCACTGATTGCCCTTAGGGGAGGACTGGACCTTGTGCCAAGCACATCCCTATTTAGCCCACCTAATGGTATAAGTTCCTGCTAGATCTGCAGGTGTGCAGGCTGGGTCTGAAAATTACCAGATGAGCTCTTTTTTCCTATACTTTTTCATAATTAGGGAATGACAGGGTTGGGGATAGGGGTTACCATTGAGGTTCATATGCTCAGCAAGAAGCTGTTGTCTGGCTTATGCTGTAATAGGGTAGTCAGGCACTGCCTCTTATGGCATGTCCATAATAGTTCCATAGATCCCTCTCTAGCCCTGTGATTGCAGTTAGTTATTTTGATAACTTCCTTTGGCTGTTTGTTTATATTTCACAAATCCCATGTGTTCCCTGTTTTTTTTGTTTTTGTTTTTTTTTAAGACTGGCCTGGTTATAGATATCCTACTCTCTATCCCGGCCACATTGTTGGCAATTTAATTTATTTACTTTTTTTTTTTTTAAGAAAGGAAAAAAGAAAAAAAATCAAAATTTAAGACTTTTCTTTTGCTGTTCCTATTAAGGGGATTCTGGATAGGGTGGGACATGGGTGGGATCTGTTTTATACTTTCCTTTTCAGCACAACCTTTGGCTTTAATATAGGAGAAGTCAAGGAAGTCCTTGGCTAAACTTAGGATACCTGCTCTAACCTTCTGTAACCCCATCTGAGATGAAGAGCTTCTTGTACTCCTGTGATGGATGTGACAGTCCAGCATCAATGACTGTGCTCCCTGAAGAAATTTACTTCTAGTTCTACCAAGGTCTCATTGTAAAAACCTGGATTTAGAGTATTACTATTGAAGGCAACTCCACTTCCAAGATTCCTTGGAGATACCTAGCTGGGTTCTAAGCTTCACCAGACAAATTGGGTAGAAATTATATATGTCTCTAAAAACAGGCTGTCCTCTGCCTTTCCCATGTCCTCCTAAGGACTTCAGTTCCATTTCAGACTATCTGGTACATTCCTTGATTATGATTACTGGCAGAGTAAGCAAAAGGGAGGGGTAATGGGTGTGATTATTTTAATGTGGAGGTGGGAGTGAGGTTGGAAAAGAGCTCCTTTTAACCATATAACAGCTTTGAAGTTTTATTTCAGGCCAGGTCTGGGTAGTTGGGTCCTGGCTCTACTGGGATTGGGGTGGAGAGATAGTTTGTGGGGAGTAGAGAACAGTCAGATGTTATGGTTTCAAGACACCGTGCCTCAGGAATTTGAAAACGCTGCTATACTTAGTCTGGTTACTACATTTCTTCCACTCTCCTTTACCCCTGCCTGTCTTCCCAAGGCCCAAACTTTCCTGTCCTCACCCACATATGGAGCTGGGAAGCTCAGTTAGGGCTTCCCTATCCCTTTGCACTAATGTCTCTGCAGGTTGCTGGTTGTGTTGTGTGTGCTGTTCCATGGTATTGACTGCACTAATAATAAACCTTTCACTCAACTCTAAATTCTTAATTTACCATCACTCCCCTTGTGAAGGTTTCTCCTCTGCTTTGACCTTTCTCCCACTTTAATTCCCCTTCTTTTTTGCTTTGTAATGTACCTTTTTCTTAGAACCTGACCTCTGCTTCAGGAGGATGTCTGCCTGGGAGTAATATCCACCTCCCATACACTTGAAACCCAGCGTACCCTCCTGCCTTCTGTAACAGCTAAAGCGCTTTCCAGTGACCTGAGCTGTGTGCTTTCCATGGTGTGCCTTTACCCCAAATTCCATGTCTTCCCTAAGTGCTCCTGGGTTTGAGGGACAGTTTCTACATAAGATATGTGTGCACCTCTTCCCCTTGTTCCGTAAGTACCCTTGCTCTGGAATCTGGCAGGGAAGCCTCCACCCTCCAGTGACTCCTAACCAAGAAAGAAATGTAAGGACGAGAACCTGAAACAACTACACCTGCTGTCATCAAACCTTGGTAAAGTCTTTTCCTAAACATTTGCTGTAACCACCTTCTCCCTGTCATGAGAAGGAATCCCCCACCTACCTGTGAACTATATTTTAAATTTGTTGAACTTTATCATTCACTTAACATAAACCTAATGTTACTCTAATGAATTGGAGGGAAAAGGCATTCCTGAGCTCACTGACTACAGCTTCATACATACAAGGTGTGACTGGAAAATAGTAAGCACATCACAATGTAGAACATAGGAGGCAATTTATGTGCTAGGGGAATACTAGTAGTCCTCTTTTCTCCTGAGACTCCTTCAAAATTACTTCAATATCTTACTGTTTATACTTTTGAATGTCATGAATGGTACCGTATCTTTTTTTTGGTGGAACTTGGGTTTGAACTCAGGGATTCGTGCTTGCAAAGCAGGTGCTCTACTGCTTGAGCCATAACGCCAGTCCATTTTACTCTGATGGGCTCTTGTGAACCATTTGCCCAGCTTGGCCTTGAACCGTGATCTCAGCTTCCCAAGTAGCTAGGATTACAAGGCCTAAGCCACCAGTACCCGGCTACCATATCTTCCTTTTAAGCTAGATTTGATTTTTAGAAACATTCACTGAATGTCTATAAAATGCTTACTAGCAAAGTGGAACCTACCTTCACAGGATTTACTCCCCAGTGGAGATGTGTACATAATGATAAAGCATATTAAGTGTTGCAAAGGCGGCTTACTAGCAACATATGGATAAAGGAAAATAAAGGCACTGATTCTGACAGAATCAGGCATGGCTTTTCAGGAGAGTTATTCCAGATAAGAAGTCTGTCAACTACAGCTGGCAACCTGCTGCCTAGGACACAACCATGCCCTTTTAACCACATATCATTTGTGGCTGCTTGTTTTGTGTGTGTTCTGAGGACTGAACCTAGGGTCTTGCACAAGTACAGTGAGCTACGCCCCCAGCCCTCTGTGACTGCTTTTGCATTACAACAGCAAAGTTGAATAGTTGTCACAATGCCTAAAATACTAGATCTTCTACAGAAAAAGTTTGCCAATCCATTTTAAACTTTTCTTTTAATCTTTATTTACTTATTATTTTGGTGGTGGTACTGGAGTTTGAACTCAGGATTTCGCACTTGCTATATAGATGCTCTGCCACTTAAGTCATTACTCTGCCCTTTCTGTGTTGGCTATTTTTGAGACATAGTCTTGGGAACTGTTTGCCCAGGCCGTCCTCAAACCATGATCCCCATATCTCTGTGACAGTACTGGGGTTTGAACTCGGGGCTTCATGCTTGCTATGTAGGCACTCTTCCACTTGAGCCACACTCCCAGTGCCCCCAATCTCTGCTTTTTTTGCTTTAGTTATTTTTCAAATAGGGTCTCACATTTATTTTTTTTTGCCTAGATGACCTGGACCACAGTCCCATTTATACCTCCCAAGTATCTGGAATGACAGAGGCATACCACCAGACCCAGCTTATTGGCTGAGATGGGATCTTGCTAACTTTTTGCCCAGGCTGGCCTTGAACCAAGATCCTCCTGATCTCTGCCTTCTGGGTAGCTGGGATTACATGTGTGAGCCATGATACTGTTTCATTCTAAATTTTTAAGGTCAGGGGAATTCTAGGGGTAGAGGTGAATAGAGAGGATCGGTGGTTCTAGTTTTCTATGTATTTGAAAAATCAGAATATTTTTCTATAGTGTCAAAATAACAAATCCATATCCAATTCACATTTCCCCAGTTGTCCCAAGAAAAAACTTTTTTTTTCTTTTTGTGGGACTTGGATTTGAACCCAGGACTTTGTGCTTGCAGAGCAGGTGCTCTACCATTTGAGCCACACAACCAGTCCATTTTACTCTGATTATTTTGGAGATGGGGGGGTTGTCTTGAACTATTTTCCTGGGCTGGTCTTGAGCAGCTGGGTGTGTGTGTGTGTGTAACACTAATTTGTTAAAGATAGTGGGTCAGTTATCCTGGAGAATGGTCTTTTGAACTTCCAAGTTTTTTTTTTGAGACAGGGTCTCACTGTGTAGCCCAGACTGGCCATGAACTTGGGATCCTCCTGCCTTGGCCTCCTGCATGCTGGCATTAAAAGCATGTGCCACCACACGAAGCTGACTGCATTGTTTTGTTTTGTTTTTTTGATACTGGGAATCAAACCCGGGGCCTTGTGGATGCTAGCTAAGTACTCTGCCACTAAGCTGCATCCCAGCCCAGCTGACTTCTTAAGTGTCCTTCAAATTGCTGTTCTAAGTCCTGTTTTACTAAATAAATAGTAGAGTCTTGAGAGATTGAAATTTAACAGTCCTGAGTGTAGAAGACGTCTCAGGAGAGATACCAGTTTGGTAACATCAGTATATATGCCCAGTTGTCCCATTAGCCTGATCTCTTCACTGTACAGATGTACTTTTGGGAGAGATTTTTTAAAAGGCTGGCAAGGTAAAAAAAATACATGTCTTGAGAGCAGGGGGTAGCTGGCAGTGCAGCTCTGCCTACAAGAAAAGGGACCCAGCAAGGCACCAGTGTCTCATGCCTATAATCTTAGCTACTCAGGAGGCAGAGATCAGAAGGATCACGGTTCAAAGTCGGCCTGGGGAAATCGTTTGCAAAACCCTGTCTCAAAAATACTTAACACGAAAAAGGGCTGGTGGAGTGGCTCAAGCGGCAGAGCATCTGCCTAGCAAGTGCATGGCCAAATTCAAACCCCAGTACTGCCAAAAAAAAAAAAAAAGAACAGGGGCCCAGTATTACCAATTTTCAAGAAACTTGAAATCTTAATGTTTTTGCTAAATCTCAGAACTTTTCCATGTTCACATTAAAAAAAAAAAAATGCTTGAAGGCCAAAAACAATTCAGGTCCACCAGACTGCAACCTTTTTGTTTGCTTGTGAAGAGACAGGGTCTTCCTATGTAGCCTAGTACAGCCTTGCTCTGGCCTGAAACTGGAGATCCTCCTGCCTCACCCTACGAGTGCTGGGATTATAGGCATGTATCATCATGTTCAGCTTTCTTTTTTAAAGCCTGTCTCCTACAGTCTTGCAACAGCCAAATCACACCTGGGCTTCATCCACTCCTGAAACCTATTTTAAGTTGAGATCACAACATGAATGAAAACAAGTGAAGGTGAAGGATACATAGAAGCTAAGTAGAGACCAGTATAATTTGGAGTTTAGGAGTTTATTGAAGGAACTAGTCAAAGATAAGATAAAATAATCTGAGAGCAATTGTTGGAATTTCACAGTAGGGAATTTGGACTTTTTATTTTAGAATTTTTGAGTGACTTTGAATTCATTCTAGTGGCAATGGAAAGAAAGCAAGAAATTGGTGTCAATAATGTTAGCGTTCCAGTAATTCATGCAGAGAGGATAATGGCTTGAAAAACAGGAAAAAAAAACCAAGAGACACTGGGAATAAAAGACTAATAGTTTTTTGTTGTTGTTGTTTGGCAATACTGGGGTTTAACCTTAGGGCTTCAAACTTGCTAGGCAGGAACCCTACTGCTTGAGCCACTCTGCCAACCCTATTTTGTACTGGGTTTTCTGAGATGAGG